GATAAATTTATTCTATACAATACTAGTGGATAAGGGAGGGGTGAGTAAACACCTCTGCCGGTCTGAGCCTAGGGAAATCGTACCCCCTCCTTCTATAAAAAACGCATTAAAAAAAAAGAAGTTGGGGTTGGGTATCCGGCTCGCGGCGTTCTCCCAGGGCCAAAATTCTAGTCTATTTATTAAATAAAATCTGTTCTCAATTTTACTTCTTTAGCCTTTTCGTTTAGGTTCCATTCGGTCGGCCTGATTTGTACCACCCATCTCTTGTCAGCCTTGGCAACGGGATTGGTTTTGAGTCCACAATCTGGTTGACTACTGTCGTCCTTGTTTGTCTCTGACTTTATTTCTAGCGCTAGTTGCCTTGGTACCTGTTTCCCTCCTGTCGATGCGGCCATCTTTCTTTTGCCTCATTTCCACCCATGGCCGCGACTGGGCTGTCAATTTTCCGACGCCTAGGATGGCTCAATTGCTGATAGCCCGTTGCTCGTGTGGTGCAGGCTCCCGCTGTATTTTATTGGAGTCTTACTAGCCTATCACGATCGAGTCTCGCTCATACGTGGCGGCGTTCAGACCCTGTTGTACTCTTAGTTTGTTGGTGTTGCCGCTTCATAATAGTTCGAGCTGCAGCTTGCCGCGTAGCACTGGCCTTCATAGGACGCATTTAGCAAGGCGGAATCGCGGGTCACCATGCCTTACGACTTGCTGGATTATTAACTTCGTGCTCTTACATTTCGGCTTTTTAGGGAATTATCAGTTGTGACCAGAACGATTGACTCAATGTGTTAGTCCTATCTCTGAAGCCCACTTCAAGGCAAGCTTTGTCCCGGCAGCGCGAGTGGGCTATTGTGGGTTGGGGTTCGTTTGTGCCCGAGAGGATTTTGGCGCTTGGTATATCCTTTTGCGATAATGGCCTAAAAATGGGCTCTGGGGCGGTGGCGCGGCGCTTACTTCTCGGTCTGATTTGTCTTTAGTTGTTTACCTCCGCTAGACGACGGGAATGTCGTAAATGGATGCAACTTGTGGTAGAAGATAACACTGGCCCAGACTATGGCCGCGTGGTTATCTAGTTCACAAAATCCCACCCACGATTCTCGTATGACGTCGAGTTCCCGATCTGGTAGGGTGGCAATAAGTATGTTAAAAATAGTGGACTAGCCTCGGTTTACTACTCAGGATTTGCATCATTTCCACTATCGATTATGTTCCAGGCTTATCCGCATTCGGTGGGTAAAACTCTCAGACGGTCTCGCCCCTTGCAATGGAGGATCATATTTCAGGTGACGTGCTATGGTCATGTTCTGGAGAATACGCCGGCCTTGTAACCGGCCGACAGCGCAGGTGTATACTGACTCGGCAACTTGCTTAAGAGTGATGTGCACGAACTAGTTATAAGTCCTTCCGAGGATTGCCGGTTAGGTCAGAACTTGAGTCCACCATCGAGAGATGACTTCTTGGAGAAAAAGCTAATACAAATCGGGTTAGTGGTTGGGCCTGTTGATGTAGTTGACTGAGAAAGTTATATTATTTCTCAAATTTTATTATGCGGCGAGGTAAATCTGGATACTTATCCTATAGGTAATTGTGACCATAAAAATACCTACTACGAGTTCCTGCACTGTAATATCCTAACGGAGTAGTGGATGACGGGAAACTCGAAAAGTAGTAATCTCTGAATGTGTAAGTGGACATAAATCAGGCCTTCATGTATCAGAGCGTGACCGACTTGGCGCTTGAACCTGATAAGCCAGAGCTGCCTTCTTCGATTCAGAAAGCCTTAGGCGGGAATATTCCGTCTTTATTGATTGCCTTCTCCCTTTGTACAAACGCAAAAACACCGTGTCCGCCCTTAAAAAAGGCATTTAAGCCACGCATCTTCATGCTTGATCTTAAGCCTCAATTAGCATTGTTACGGTATGTGCATACCTGTGCAAAAATGAATTGGTCGAAAGGCCATAGGAATTTACCATAGCCTGACTATATGCTCCGAGCTGGGGCTTCAGTCATTCAGATGAAGCCTGGTTACGAACATAAGGCGGGGACTCAACTGGTGGCCATTGCGAGCCACTAGCCTCTAAGGCAGTGGTTCCCAAACTTTTCATAGTCGCGAAGCCCTTTTTCAATTAAGTTTTTCTACGTTGCCCTACCTTAATCATGACTATTCGTAAGTAAGAGATAAAAATAAATAAAACGCGTGTGTTCATTATCTTTTTTTACTTTATTAACATCAAATTAATAATTAATGTGATAGATGGGCCTGCAAATCACTGCAGATTTTCTCAAATTGAAGCTTTTACAGTATTTCGCGGTGCACAATCTGGGAATCACTGCTCTAAGGTATGACTAGAAGTGCTAGGTAGATTGCCAAGACGTGATGACTTTGGTATCACACTAGGATGTGGTACATACTAGTCGCTAATACGAGTTGGGGATTTCTCTAGGCCCATCTGTCTTCGGGTAGCTGAGTGCAAGACGCTATTTGATGAGTAGCTATGTATTCGGCGTGAAGCCATCCTGGTCTAACCGGTCACTGGTCTAAGTTAGTTCTCAATGAGAACTCGGAGTTAGTCCTAATCTAAGGAGTAGCCGAAGAGTAAGCATACTAAACCATACAGCAGAATCGAAGCGAGGACACGAGGTAGGTGTTGCAGGAGAAATAGCGCTGCATCTAGTAGTCATCGAAGTCGAAAACAAAATAAAAAGGTCCGAGCATACTCGTCCTCACTATCCATAAAGCTCCAGGCGTTTTGGGTCACTCCTAATCGTCGATGCGCTAGACTGAATTAATGGCTTAAGAAAAGCTCTAGAGCAAATCACGTGGCAGCAGGTACAAGGAATAGCTTCATCGTACGATTTGGACAAGATAGTTTATTCTAAGCACTGCGACTTATTTCGATAAAGTAAGGACGCTCGACATGCTACAACTCTGTAGCCACCTATAGACTGGAATCAGGATAGATAAATATCACCTATTCATTCTTCAAGACAGACACAATAATAGCAAACTAATCGTACGAATGATTCATGAAGTTTTTCCGAATATCAGTGAATTATCTTGCCAAGAGAAGAATAAAAATGAAAAGGACTTTAATGAAGTGTATATTTAAATCTGGCATAGACGTACCTGTAGGATTTGTAAATATTGACGTTTCGGTGACTTGCCTGTACACACAAAACACACGAATTGGGCTTGTTTCCTTTGAAAGTAGTTATAAAAACACCTAGATAGGATAAACCTGGAAGCACATTAATCGTTGCGCCAAAGTAGAAGGCTATCAAAGCACTCATAATCTAGTTCTTTATCGATATGGAAGACAAGTTAAGCTAAAATAGGATACCCTTCATGCTACCAGTTGGAATGAATTAAGAGTGGTATAGCACGCTAAAATAATAAACAAACTTAATAGTCAAAAGTCATGTTTCGAGTAGAGGGAAGGGCATAGGGCGTTCGCCCCCGTCTATGTCCCAGATATGAAAGTGCGTAGGACCTTCGAATAGGCAAAGCTAAATTAGTACGCGATAGACAATTTGGTTTAATGAGCAAGTAAAAGCTTGGGGATTGGTCAGATTGCTTCAAGAATAGGACTAGAGTATAAGTGATAAATCCACCGCCTAGAATGATAAAAGCATAGCATCAATCATTGATTACTCTTTCCGAAGATAACGATAATATTTATTAACTAAAAGGCGTCGAACCTGATTAGCGCATTCATTCACTGGCACTAAATTTGTGACTGCGGGTGTGTTTAGTTGGGAGGAAGGTCGGAGCGTAAAGTAATATTCCCAGCGTAGAAATGAAGATAAAAGTTAGGCGATCTAATAAATCATGATAGGAAATTAAGCAAATATTATCTAAATAGCAATCACGTAGACTCATAGGGGTAGTTATGACTGGAGTAGGTCAACACAAAAATTATACCATAGTTGTATTCACAAAAGGCAAGGTATTGAATAGAGGAATCATTGAGATATTTCGATTTAAGTTGAAAATGTATCACAATAAA